ATACCACCAAATAAATGTCTCCCACATGTTTGTAAAATAGTTCTCTAAACAAGACACGATAAAATCAATCAAGGTTCTGCTTATTAAATTACAAGAACATGCAGGTGCTCAATCACTGAAATGGCACAGGAGTCACTGTGATGGATGCTGGGCCTCACTCAACTCCTCTACCGCACGCTCACCTCTGCTGTTAGTGTAGCTCTCGGGGAGCAACTTTATCGTCCACGTTTCCGAGTTTGTTAGAGTCTCACTTGTGCCTGAACTACCAACACTGTCCTCTTTCCTGTTTCCAGGTTAACATCCGCCCTTCAATTTGCAACCTTTGGCAACCAGTTATGACTGCACCTCACTGTTTAATATGCACACCCAAAGTTCTCCACCTGATACTGACTATAAGGATACGTATGAGCCGACCTGTCCCATGCATTCAGTGGGGCGCCAAACACTATGTCTACTCCATTTCTTTAACCCACTCATCTAGGAACTTAGTTTTTAAAAGGAGGAGGGGGTGTAGAATAGAGGCAGTATGCAATTGTCATAAGGCTGAAACTGAGCACCAGCCAGTCCTGGATTCATATCCCTCCTCTAGCTCCTACTAGCATTGGAACTTTGAGCTTAACCTCTGTCTAACCTCTCTGAGTTTGTTTCCTGCCCTATAAACCCAGAGACACGATGCATATAGAGATACAGTGCATATGAAGTTCCAGCAGGTGTTAGACACCCAATAAAAGCAGCTGCTATTAGCATGTTCATGTAATAATTAAACTCACACTGGGCTTTAGTGATCCCCTAGAGACAAGCAAAGATGCTCAGCTCCACTGGTCCAAATCATCTACGGTTCTTTACAAATGTAGCTCTGACTGTGTGAGATCCAAATGAGACGGCACCAGGCAGGGTGGTGACTCAGGAGAGGTTCAAGGCACAGAGCAGGCATCCGGAGCCGAGGAGGCGATGAGTCAGGATCCGGGGAGTCAGCAGCACTGGACTTGAGTGTAGAGCAGACAGTGGGTCAAATCAGGGGTCACAGCAGGAATGAGTAGGAGCACCAGTGGACTGCTGGACCTGGGGTGAGGCTTTCTGTCCTCTGCCCTTTTGAATACTTCCCGCTCCTTGTGAGTCTCTACAAATCCATGGGTACATAGCAGCAGCCAGAGGCAGCACCCGATGGCATTGAGGTGTCATCAGACTGTCACTCAGTGCAATTCTGGGGGATCCTGGGTAGTGTAGTCTAGTGGTTAAGTGCTTGGGCTCTGGCATTAACATCTTGGGTTCAGATCCCAATGTTACCACCATACTGAGTCTTGCTTTGCCTCTAGGCCTTCACGTAGCAGTTCCAAGTGCCCTAAATGCTTTTCCTCTTCGGCTCAACCAAATGCCAGGTCTCCGACTCTCACCGTAAATACCGTGTCTTCCTGGAGCCTGCCCTGATCTCTACCCCCAAGTGCAGATGGGAGGCTGCCTCCTCTGCCTCCCGAGCACCCTGTGCTCTCTCCCTACCAGAGCCCTTACCTCAGTGTGGGGGAGGCATTACACCGTTGGCTCTGTGACTGCATAAATATGTCTTTCCTGTTCTCAGTATATTCTCTGGTGCCTAGAACAGTGCCTGGCACTTACTAGATGCTCAGTTCAGTGTTCTTGAAAAGGGAAACAAAACTAATAACAATTAGCTATTAGATTTTGGAAGGGTTCTTACAGACCATCTCGCCTGACTCCTTCTCTGGGGCCCAGAGAAGCAATTCGGCTTCTAACCCCTGGTCCTTTACTGATTTGCTACGTGGTCTTAGAAAATACCTTCCCTCTCTGAGTCTCAGGCTCTCCAGCTATAAAATGAGGAAAGCTCTTCCTGCTCCAACTTATTCTGGCTCTGCCTCCTGTCCCTCCTTCTGGATGCTGGTAGGTCGCAGGGGTACTGACGGGGGAGTAGGTGGGATGGCGCAGGAGAAATGTAAGCTCAGGTTCACCCTTTCAAACTGTCTCCAATCCAGGTGAGGAGATAAGACACACATGGCGAGGAAGTGCTAAATTAAATGTTTCTGGTGATTCCGTTTTGCTAGGAGATCAGAAAAGGAAGCGATCGGGAAAGCCTGAGGGCACGAAGGCTCCTGCAAGAGTGAGGCTTAAGCTGAGCAGGCAGGATTTACTGGGCTGTGAGGATGAGAGGAGAGCGTCCCGGGCACGGAACCGGCTCCCCGCTCCCCTTGAGACCGCATGGACACGTGCTCGCCGAGGGTCAGCCGATGATGCAGAGCCCAGCCCTGCCACTTACTAGCTCTGGCCTTCGACAAGTTTCTCAACCCTCCTAGATCTCAGCGTCCCTTACCCTTGCTGTGGCTATCTGAATGTCTAACTTGCTGGATTTGTGACTCCTAAATGTATGTGACAGTATCTAGAACAGCGCCTGGTGCCTAACAGACCATTTTAAGAAATGCCACTTTCTTTTCTTCCTTTCGGCCACCGAAACAGTCTTGACATGTCACTGGCAAGAACATCCAAACTACAGCTGGGGTTTGGGGGCTGAAGGTTTTTTCTGACCAACCATTCGTAGTCTGTTAACTCTGATACGACTTGCTCAGTGCTTCACACACACACACACACACACACACACACACACACACACACAGAGTTCATCTAAAATCCAAGGGAGAAAGCTGTTTCTAACCCCCTGATCAGATGGGGCCAGATTGGGATCTGTTTCTGTCAACAAAAAAACAAAGAATTAACACCCAGGTCTGGCCTGAAGTCCTCCCTCCACCATGGGATTTATAAGACAGAAGATTACGAAACCAAATGTCATTTTCTATGGGGCTGGAGGGAGAGGCTGCAATTAAATTATAGATCAATTCTGTAAAATTCCTTGGAACATTTATGAAGCTATTGATATTTCTGTAGGCAAACAGAATGAGGCATGTGTTGTGGGGGGGAACTCCCAGGAGAGGGAGAAGGGTTGTTTGTTTCAGTTCACCCCTGCTGATGACTGATTGAGAGTGATTAGCATTTAGAAGCGGCGCCCCAAAGGAAACCCAGCGCCATCTCATTTACAGGCGCCTTCAGGGAAAGGTCGGCAGTGGGTGCTCAGGAGTGGAGCTCAGGTCTTGAAGGAGAGCATTTAAAGTTGGATCTGAGCTGAGGTTATTCATCTTGGAGGACTTTAAACTCTTTTGGGAATCCAGCAGACAGAACTCTGCTCTTGTGCCTGGGAAAACACAGATATACCCCAAATTCTATTTGAGGTGTCAAGATATTCGTGGAACCCAGGTTTAGAATGCCTCTCTAACAAAAATTTTAAACTTTTCTTTGCAACTATTTCTTAATTCATTACCCACTTTCCAGCCTTGGAGACCTACCCATACCACTAATTGCTTCTCAGATTGTGAATGGAAACTAAGGACTCTTTCAGGTCCTCTGGGACCAGCTGAACCCCTCACTAGAAGTCAGGGCTTGGGTTCCAGAACCAGCCCTGCTCTGCCTTTCCAGAGACACGCTGGCCCTCTCAGTTCTGTCTGCACTTAAATTTCTCCAACTGGAAAATGGGAGGGGGAGGAGTTTTGACTAAGAAAGCAATTCTTGAGCTATGTTCTGTGGAAGACATGCGTCATGAACAAAAGAAGAGTTCTACAGCCAAAAAAGTCAGGACAGTATTGCACATTCTAGTCCCCTCTTGGAGAGACACACAGTTCATTAGCATATTGAACTGACTTCTGAGAAACCCTACAATAAAGAAATCTGTTGTTCTTGGTTTAGTCGAACATTTAATTGCTTTGATCTGTGCATTTTTATCAGAGAAGCGTTTTACTTGGCACTGAGTTTAGAACCTGGTAATTGTGGCTCTCCACCTAGTAATCCTCCCCCAACAAATCAACACACAATATAGAAGGTTACGGAAGGTTGGTGTTAAAACAGAGTGGCGGGACCCGGCTGGAGTGGCTCAGTTGGTTGGGCGTCATCTTGTGCACCAAGAGGTCTCTGGTTCAATTCCCAGTCAGGGCACATGGCCAGGTTGCAGGCTTGATCCCCAGAAAGGAACATGCAGGAGCCCATCGGTGTTTCTCTCTCATATCAATGTTTCTCTCTCTCTCCCTCCCTCTCTCCCTCTAAAAAGTCAATAAAAACATAATTAAAAACAAAACAAAACAAAAAAAACACTGATGGAGAGATCAGATTATTAAAAAAACAAAACACAAACAGAGTGGGGGGAACCCTAGGACCAGCAGGAACACTAGAATTCTTTTGCTCACCTTTCCTTCACTGGTTGGGAATTGTTCTCTGTAGGCAAAATAGTTTGAATGCCCAGGCAACAGCTTCTAGTCTGTCCTCTTGGCCCTTCAATCTGTCTAGACTAGTGGCTCTCAAACCAGAGTGCAGTGAGAATTACTGCAATGACGGGGTTGATGATAAAAGGGCAACTTCAACTTTATCTGTAATGTACTATCTCTCTTATCTAAAAAACAATGTTAACAGGATGAAAACAGGCATTTATTACATCTGCCTGAACTTTTTATTTTTTTTAACTTTATAAGAGAAAGAATAACATTTAAATAGTCTCAGTTCAGAGTTGAATATACTCAATGGGGCAATTAGAGAATGTTCTGGGATAATTATGACTCCTATGGTTTTTGCCCAATGCACAGATTTTTTCTTTTAATATGTTTTTTATTGACTTCAGTGGGAGAGAGAGAGGTAGAAACATCAGTGATGAGAGAGAGTCATTGATCGGCTGCCTCCTGCACGTCCCCTACTGGGGATCAAGCCCGCAACCCGGGCACGTGCCCTGGCTAGGAATCAAACCACCATCTCCTGGTTCATGGTTGACACTCAACCACTGGGCCACACCGGCAGGGCGATGCACAGACTTCTATGTCTGACTCCCGCATAAGCGGCACCCACACTTTAACAATATCCTCCAGCAGGCTTTGGGGACACTGACAGAGAGCACCCGGGCCTCCGAGGGTTGGCACCTCAGGGCCTAACCTTGGCCCTGCCCCCTTGTGTCCCGGATGCAGGACTACAGAGTCAACATCTTCCTGCGCCAGCAGTGGAACGACCCCCGGCTGGCCTACAACGAGTACCCCGATGACTCTCTGGACCTGGACCCGTCCATGTTGGACTCCATCTGGAAACCCGACCTGTTCTTTGCCAACGAGAAGGGGGCCCACTTCCACGAGATCACCACGGACAACAAACTGCTGAGGATCTCCCGGAACGGGAACGTGCTCTACAGCATCAGGTGAGTTCCGCAGAAGCCCGGCCCCTGCACCCCCAGGGCGCGCCTTGTCCCGTCGCCGTCTGGGAGCAGACGCTAAGGGGACGGGTCAAACACAGGTGAACGGGCCCTGGAAAGCCGACGCCTCTGCCAGGCCGGCGGGGGCTCCGTACCTCACACTCGGCAAATGAGAAGGGCCGTCCTAGCAGCAAGCGGTTTAGCCTAACCAGGGAGATCAAGGAAGCATCGGGGGAAGGTGGGGTTAACGTTAGGCCCCTGCGCTCGCCCAGAACTTCAATAAAACAAGACGGAAAAAGGATCCAAAGGCAGCGGTCAGCAGCAGGAGCGTGCGGCACGCAAGGTGAGCCAGCTGTGGAGAGCCGTGGACAGCGCGGCGCTATAGAACACCACAGTGCTTACGCTTCCGTATTCGTGAAGAGGGGTGGTCTCATGTTAAGTGTTCTTATCATAATTTTTAAAAACAGCAGGAGCAAAGGCACAGAACCTGAAAAATTCCAGCAACCTCACCGTAGGTGGGCCTGCCGGGTGAATGGTCCCGCTCGCAGGTGTCAGTCAGGGCTGCTCTCTCCCTTCTAGAAATGCTTCCCATCCTCCACACCTTGCATTGAGTCTAAGAAGCTGGGTCCCCTCTTCCCAGCTTCCTGCAGATACTGGTGAGAGGGCAAACTTTCAGTCTCCTGCTACCCTCCCCACCTAATTCCCAATCTTTGCCCCCAACGCATGAAGAAAATGACCAATGTCCGTGTGAGTTTTACAACGCACCATTCTCTGAAATGTACTTACTAGGCTGGGAACTTCAAATGGATGATGTCTAGTCCTCCCAACAACCCCATGAAGTAGGTTTTGTTATGCCCATTTTGCAGATTAGACAAGTGAGGATCTGAAAGTTTGAGTAACTTACCAAAGTTCCCACAGCTAATCTGATGTCCGCTCAGAACCTTGAATAGCAGGGGCATGGCATTCAGTGGGCACTCAAAGATTTGATGAGTAAATGAAAATGTTTTCATTTGAAAGAGTTTAAAGGGAGCACTGGTCCTAAATGACTCCGACTCCCCCTCCAGTTCCTCAGGGGAATAAATCTTTTTATTTCCATTAGGAAATGAGCTTTAAAGGTCCAGGCCCCTAGGAGAAGCTGCACAGATATAACTGAGGAGCGGACTGGCTGGGGAGAGGGGACTGAGAAATCTCTGCAGGGAAAGCAGGCTGGGAGGAGCCGGAGGTAGATGTCGCCTTCCTCACCTGGGAGCCAACCCCATGCAGTGCACACCCAGGAAATGGCCACCAAGGCCCTGGCTGGCTGGCGGCTAGGGAGGGGTCACCCAGCCTGGATTTTGCTGCCGCCAGGCTAGTTTCATGTCTCTGGGAAGCCAAGCCCCAGTATAGCATGACAAAAGGACAAATCAGCAGAAAGTGATATTCCCAAGGTCATTCAACCTCAGGAAATTAACCCAGTGTGACAGCTGCCCCACTTTGGAGCTTTTATCTTCAGAAATCAACTGCATTCCCCTCCCCCCTCTCCTCCCCCCTCTCCATCTTCCCCTCCCTTTCCCTTTGCTGTTCCCCTTCTTGCTTCTACTTCTACATTCCGAGCTGTGGGTGTGAGCTGGAGGGAGGGGGTTCATATAGGGCCTGGTGCCTCACCATGTGCAGCCAAGGTGCTGGCACTAAGGGCCACCAGATCACCACCAACTCAGTGTCTTTCAGGACAGCAGTGCTGGGACGCCTGCCAGCCAGCACCTGAGCTCAGCAGCCCAGGGCTGGGAGAATATTTTAAATTCTGCCTGAGCCATCGGCTTGCCGTGTGACCTTACACAAGTCCCTACCTATCCTCCTCACCTCAGTTTTCTCACCTGTCAAATGAGGGAGTTGGCCCAATGATCTAAAGCTCTGAGAGTCTTTCTTCTCCGTTCCCTGCAGCAGGTGCTCAGATGTTGGCAAAGCTTTCAAGCTGAAGCCTGTACTCCAGCCGGAACTGCAGACCTCGGGTTCTGTTAAGGGGGCTTTCTCTGGGTCTGAGCCGCAGCCCTCTGCAGGGGTTGAACAACCCAAAATAAACAGCTAGCCCAGAAGCTGGGGGTGCCCACCACTTCCCAGCTGACCCCAGCAGGAACCCACAGGTGTGAGCCAGCTGTGTTTGGACATCAGCTGTGTCTGAAGACCTTTTGAAAAAAATCTGATGAGCCCAGGGTATGAAGGGAGGCAGCCAGAAGCCATGCACAGCACCTGCTGCCAGGGCACCTGGGGATGCCTGAGGCCGGGTGCTGCTCAACGGAACATTCAGGCTCTGGCCCTGCCTGAGTCCTCTGCAGAAGAGGAGGGATGGGGGCAGCCCCTGGCCTCCAGGTCTTCGGGCACCTTGCTAAAGGCAAGCCTCTAGGAGCCAGACAGACTCCTAAGAAACACAGAAGTTCCACTGGCTCTTTGTGAACTTAAGCAGCCTCCTTTATCTCTCTGAGCCTCTATTTACACACCAAAAGTATGGGAACTATACATATATTGGTTCAAAAAAAAGCACTAGTTCCCTGACCTCCTTGACTCCTTGACCCCTCCAGTTAGCTGGTTTCTGGTAGTAATTAGAATGGAGGCACAGCTTCCCTGCTCTGTGGACCCAGCATCATTCCACCTCCTTCTCTTCCCAGAATCACCCTGACGCTGGCCTGCCCCATGGACTTGAAGAATTTCCCCATGGATGTCCAGACGTGTATCATGCAACTGGAAAGCTGTGAGTCCCTTACATGAAGCCTCTAGAAAGAAGCAGACTCGAGTCCCCTTTACCCACAGGACTGGCAGAAATCCCCACACAGCTGCTCCTAACTGCTGGACCCCGGGAGATTACTGTAATAGCTCAAAGGACCAGATGAGGGGCTTGGCTCTTAGAAAATGTGTTAGACATATAACTGCCCTTCCACTGTCTGACAGGCCCAGCTCTGGAGCCAGCAGTGTTCTCCAAAGAGGCACTATTCCATGTCCCTTGGGAACATGCTCTCCGGGGATGAAGGGGAAATAGCTGGAATAAGTCATTGAACTTGCAGGAATGTTCACTCCAGCAGGGGAGACAGATGACTGGCTAACACAGGGCAGTGGGTGGTAATTGTTCTAGTAGAAGGAGGAAACAGGGCAGAAAGCAGGCTTCCTTCGGATTGAGAGGGAGAGACAGGATTGGAGAAGGCTTTATGGAAATCAGTGCACCAGGGTTTTAACAGATGGGGTAGGTAGCAGGATCCTTTGACTGTAAACCCAGAGAGCAATTGGATGAGTCTTAAAAACAATAATTAAATGGAAGGACATGGAGGTTCCTCGTGCACTTGTAGGAAAAACCAAAAGCACAGAAACAGGGGTGGAGCATTTAGGCGGCAGGAACTGATGGGCCATCCCCTTGGAGCACCGCCTCTGAAGGGAACCAGCACCAGCCAACACTGAACCTTTTGTGACTTCACCCAAGAGTCAAAGTCCCGGGGCAGAGAGTCTGATTGGTCTAGCTGAGTCACCATCTCACACTTTGATCCCACATGACAGTCCCACCACAAAAGCTTACCATAGAGTCACTCCCAAGGAAAGTCTGCTATGAACAAAAGAGGGAGCTTACAAGGATGGTGTACAGGCACAAATAGCAGATATCAACTGAACTTGACCATGGAGGTGAGGGGAAGGAGCAACAGGCCAAGCTAAGGTAGGATGCTGGAGTGGTAGGAAGAGAGGGAGAAGGGTTGTGGGGAAAATGTAAACAATTAAACCAGTTTTAACCTGCCTTGGCAGGGGGTGGGGGGAGCGACATGGTATCATGAGTTCCCTTGAGTGTCTGGTGCCTGTTTCTAACCCTAACCTACCCTGACATGGCTCAAATAAGTGCTTCTGGGTGGTGACTGCTCCTTCTTCTGATCCCATCCCAGTTGGATACACCATGAATGACCTCATCTTTGAGTGGCAGGAGCAGGGAGCTGTGCAGGTGGCAGATGGCCTAACTCTGCCCCAGTTTATCCTGAAGGAGGAGAAGGACTTGAGGTACTGCACCAAGCATTACAACACAGGTAGGTGCAAGGGGCCACCCTCCTCAGGTGTCACCCCCCCTAACAGGGCCAGAGATCATCTCAAACATTCATTCAATCATTGCATCAACATGATGGACATAGCTCTGTATTTATTACTAGTGGTTAAGAAAATATCCTTTGAAACCCAAAAGTTGCAGCGACACTTTCTTCCTATGAGTCCTGGGGCAAGTCACTTAAGCTTAGGCCACAGCTCATCACGACACTGGGAGACAGTCTTCATTCCAAGTAGCAGGGTACCTAACTTAAAATGGACCCAATTTCCAAGGCAGGAGGAAGAGCTGATATCAGGAGGATCTCTAGCTGTCTGTCCCAGAGGAACTGGCATTTCTGATAGGACTGAGGCACAGAGAATGCTCACATTAGACCTCAGCTCAGGAAGCTGAGCAGCAGCTCTGGAGATCAGGAAACAGTGAACTTGGAGGAGATCCACTAGACTGTCAGCTACAAGGGGTTGCAGGAGGTGGGGGGACCACTATTTAGCTCAGCTCTCCACCTCAGGGCTGAAGGGACATGGGAAAAGGGGGCATCCTGCCGGGGGAGACTTCACGGTGAAGCTCCCGCAGAAGAGCAGGCGGATTTCCTTGGCTGGTTGTGGGGAGGAATGAGGGTATTCCAGGCAAACTTAGCAGGCTCAAGTGTGAAAACAGGCTGAAGGCAAGGGATGGAGCGCAGGCAGTCACAGTCCCAATGAAGGAGAAGAAAGAAGGGAAGGGGGATGGAAAAGCAGCTAGAGCTCCATTGTGAAGGGCAGGCTAAAGAGTTTGAACTTTCCCTGCAGGTAATGGGGACCTTCGTGCATGAGGAGAGAAGGAAGGGAAGAAAGGTTTTACGAAGGGAAGTAACAGGATCAAACCGTGTTTGGGGAAGAAAACTAGCAGAAGGAAAGAGAACGGTCCACTTGGGCCCACTCTTTGCAACAAAAAGTGAGGGTGAGGTTGGTGGCAACTGACACTGCTGAGCACTAACGATGTGTGAGGACTGTGCTAAGTTCTTCATAGGCACCATCTCTTTCTCTCATCACAGCTACCATACCAGTAAGCAGGTGAAGCAGGTGTTATCATCATCATCATCATCTTTTTCATCACCATCACCATCTTCATCATTTTCTTCACCATCTTCTTCATCACCATCTTCTTCATTTTCTTCATCATCTTCATCACCATCATCTTCATCATCGTCATCTTCATCATCAGCCCCAATCTTCCATAGTCAAGAATGCTCTGACCTCAAAGTCTTGTTCCTGTCCACTAGGCTACTTTGCCTTCTCACTATAATTTCCTGCAGGTAAATTCACCTGCATTGAGGCCCGGTTCCACCTGGAGCGACAGATGGGCTACTACCTGATCCAAATGTACATTCCCAGCCTGCTCATTGTCATCCTCTCGTGGATTTCCTTCTGGATCAACATGGATGCTGCACCAGCCCGTGTGGGCCTGGGCATCACCACCGTGCTCACCATGACCACCCAGAGCTCTGGCTCCCGAGCGTCCCTGCCCAAGGTAAGTCCCACTGCCCAAGAGCACAGAACCCCTGAACAGGTAGGAGGACACCCATCTCCCTTTCCTGCCAACGATAAGGACAGCATGAGGAATCAGTCACTATTGCATCATCTACCACACCTGACAGGGTCCAGCATTCTGATCCACCAAAACTTTCCTCCAGATTTAACATTATGTTCAATACAAACACACACCAAAAAGAAACATTATGTTCAATGCAGTGTCCAGACACATTTTGCTCCATTCTCTAACAACATTAGACACACATTCTGCCTCATTTACTATTAACACTTAGCTCCTCCATTCACTTTCAGTGCTGAGTACAGCATTTCACTCCTTTCACCATTAATGGCAGATACTTTGTGCTGGGCATCTCCCATGTTCAGGGATTTGATAGGACTCACAGACTCAGCAGACAGTTGGACTCCAGGCTAAGACTTCTTACAGTGACATATTCAGGAGGCACAGCTAGATGACATGGGAAAGAGACACATGCAGAGTCTGGAGGAATCTGGGCAGGCTTCCTTGCTCTCTCCTCCCCCCATGAGGGACCATAGAGCACCCTCTTACCCCAGCAGCAAAAGGCAGCACAAGAGTGAGATGTTTCTGCCCAGAGACACAGAAAGAGAAATTGTTTTGACAATTGTTTTGAAATTGTTCATTTAAGATTCAGCATCAAAGGTTTTTACTAGGTGCTGGATGCCTAGCACATACCAAAGTTCCAGACTCCCAGAAGGAAAACGGGGGTGTTTCAGCATGAACCATAGTGTTTGGACAAGCAGGCTAGGCACCCTTATCAGTAAAGGGAAGTGTGCACACCCCAAATCCAAGTTCCAAGATGTCATGCAGGGGCCAGCCTTGCAAGCAGGTCCTTCATAAGATAGCAGCCTCATGCCTGTTACATTAGCTCTCTTCTGCACATACCTCGATCTGATTCTTATATTTCTAATGTTAAACACCACATTCTATTACATTCATATTAACGCTTGAACCATATGCTGCTCCGTTCACTATTAACCCTACACACCTCATTTCACTCCGTTTACTAGTAATGTAAGCATTCTGCTTCGCTCATTCTAGGCTAGACACAACGTTCTGCTCCACTCTTCTAAGGCCAGACACAGCATTGCGCTTCATTCATTACTGACAGCAGACACTAATTCTCCAGTCGCCCTCACCGTGAATGCACCATTCTGTTCCTTTCCCCATTAACACTAGACCTCACATTCTGCTTAATTCACTTGTAACATCAGACATAATGTACTCCTTCATTTACTATTAATGCCAAACACCACACACTCCTCCGTTCACTCATACTTGCGATGCAACCTTCCGCTCGCTGGGAGTGTGGATGCCTCATTCGGCTGTGCTCTCTCCTGATGCTAGGCACTGCCTCCTCCTACATGGCCTACTGTCACTGGAGACACATTCTGCTTCATCCGCTCAGCACGAGATGCAACACTCTGCGCTGCTCTTAATGCCAGACACCATCCTCTGCTCCCTGCAGCCTTATGCTAAATGCAACATGCTGCACAGTGTCCAATTAATGCCATATTTAACATCGTCCTGATTCAGAAAAACTGAAATAATACACAATGAAGCCCGTTACACACTTCACCCGGATTCCAGTTGTTATCATTTTGCCTCATTTCCTTTATCTCTGTCTCTCTATATAGACAGGGAGGTGGGCAAGGAAGGAGGTAGATAAACACAGTTTTTGCTCACGTATCTGAACGTTACAGACATCATGACAATAAAGGAGGATCACAATGATATTATGACATCTAGAAAATTAACATTAATTAATAATTATTATTGAACTAGGAATAATGCCATAATTTCATCTAACATAAAACCTTTATTTAAAATGTCTGAATTTTCCCCCAAAAATGTCATCAATGGACACGGTGAGGGCTCCAATCAAGAATCCAATAAAGATTCATATTGCATATAGTTGCTCTTTTAATCTAGAGCAGTCTCCCCACTGTTTTTTGTTACTCATGACACTGACCGTCCTGTTAACTTTCAGGGTAAGACACAACATTCCACTTTATTTGCCATCAACACTAGACACTCTCCTCTATTCACCCTTAAAACAGAACCTAACAATCTGCCCTTGGCGCGGTTAACCCCAGAGCTGGGATTCTGCCACACTCACCGCAGATTCCTGAAACCAGGTTGTCTGCTCACCATCACACCTGACAACACGTCCTGCTGTCCGTCTGTAACAGCAGACAGGGTGTCCTGCTGTCTTTTCCTTACGTTCGGCTCAACATGTGGCTCCACTCGCTGGTAACACTACACTCACTATTTGGCTCCATTTGCTGTTAACACTCAGCCTCATAGTCTTCCCCACCCATGTTTGTTTGTTTTTTTGAAACATCAAATTCAGCGGCAGTTAGGATATTTTCAAAGCTGTACGCTCTCACCACCACCACTTTTTCATCACCCCAAAAAGCACTCATCGCCGGTCACTCCCGGTTCCCCACTCTGGCCAGCCTTTGGCAACCACTAACCTATTTCTCTCTCTATGGGTTTGCGTATTCTGAACATCTCAGGTAAATGGAATCATACAGTACATGCACTTTTACGACTGACTTCTTTCATTTAGCGTAATGTTTTCAAGGTTTGTTCATGTTGTGGCATGTATCAATACTTCACTCTTTTTTATGGTTGAATAATATTCCATTATATAGATATATCACATTTTGTTTATCTTCTCAGTTGGTAGGAATTTTGGTTATTTCCACTTTGGGCTATCATAAATAATGCTTTGAACATATGTGTACAAGTGATTGCTTGGACATGTTTTTTACTCTCATAGATGTATACCCAAGAGTTGAATAGCAACTGTATGTTTAACTTTTTGAGGAACTGCCAGAGTATTTTCCAAAGTGCCTATACCACTTTATAATCTTACCAAGGTCCCCATTTCTCCGCATCCTTGACACCTCTTTATTATGTCTTTTTTAATTATAGACATTTTAGTGGATATAAAGTGGTATCTTACTGTGCTTTTGATTTGCATTTTCCTAATGACTAATAATGTTGAACATTCTTTTCATGTGCTTATTGGCCATTTCTATTATCTTCTTTGGAGAAATGTCTACTCGAATCTTTTGCCCGTGTTTTAATTGGGATATTTCTCTTTTTATTGCTGACTTGTAATAGTTCTTTGTGTATTGTGGATTTTAAACCTTTATCATATGCATGATTTGCAAATATTTTCTCCCATTCTGTGGGTTGTCTTCTCACTTGATTTATAGTATCCTTCATACACAAAAGTTTTTAATTATGATGAAATCATATTTATCTATTTCCTTTTGCTGCTTGTGCTTTGGATAGCATATTTAAGAAACTAATACATAATCCAAAGTCACAAAGATTTATAGTTTACTCTAGGTTTTGATCCATTTTTATTTATTTTTATATGTTGTTTGAGGGAGGTATGTAATTCTTTTCCATGTGGATATTCAGATGTCCCAGCACCATTTGTTGAGAAGGCTGTTCTTTCCCACCATTGAATTTTACATCCTTGTCAAAAATCAATTGACTACAGATGTATAGGTTTATTTCTGGACTCTCAATTCTATTCTATTGATCTATATGTTTATCTTTATGCCAGTACCTCACTGTTGATTACCATAGTAGCTTTGCAGTAAGTTTTGAAATTGAGAAGTGTGAGTCCTCCCACTTTGTTCTTTTTATTTTATTTTATTTTTTAATTCTCACCCAAGGATATTTTTTCCATTGCTTCTCAGAGAGAGTGGAAAGGAGGGAGAGAGAGAGAGAGAGAGAGAGAGAAACATCGATGTGAAAGAGATACATCAACTGGTTGCCTCCTGCACATGCCCTGACTGGGGCCAGGGATCCAGCCTGCAACCAAGGTATGTGCCCTTTGCCAGAATCAAACCCAGAACCGTTCAGTCCACAGGCTGACATTCTAACCACTGAGCCAAACCAACTAGGGCCACTTTGTTCTTTTTAAAGACTGTTTTGGCTATTCTGGGGTCCTTGCATTTCCATATGAACATAAATATGAATTTTAAGATCAGCTTGTCAATTTCTGCAATAACAAAAAAGGAATTTTAATCAAAAATACATTGTGTCCCTAGATGAATTTGGGGAGTATTGCCATCTTAACAATAATAGTCTTCCAATTCATGAATATGAATATCTTCCCATTTATTTAGGTCATCTTTCATTTCATCTGCCTTCTAGACCCCATGGTTTCTATGAGAAATCAGCTGTTAATCTTATTGATGATCCCTTATATGTGATGAGTTGCTTCTCTCTTGCTGCTTTTAAGACCCTGTGTCCTTGGCTTCTAACAGTTTGATTATGACATGTCAAGGTGTGAATCTCTTTGAGTTTACCTTGCTTGGAGTTCACTGAGCTTCTTAGATGTAGTGTTTTTCACCAAATTTGGGGAAAACTTTGGCCATCATTTCTTTAAATATTCGTTCTGCCTCTTTCTCCCTCTTCTATTCTTTAAACATATTTTAGTGCACATGATGGCTCCCCACAGGTCTCTGAGACTCTGTTCACTTTTCTTCATTCTGTTCCTCAGACAGGATAACCTGAACTTCACTGGTTCTTCTCCAAGTTCATTGATTCTTCTGTCTGCTCAAATATACTGTTAATCTTCTCTAGTGAGATTTTTCACTTATTTTACTTTTCAACTCCAGAATTTCTATGTGGCTCTTTTTTATCATTTATATCGCATGCTCTACTTGATGAGACTTTGTTCTCATACTTTTCTTTAGTTGTTTAGAGATGGTTTCCTTTAGTTCTTGAACATATTTAAAATAACTGATTTAAAGTCTTTATCTGTTAAGTCCAACATCTGGGCTCCCTTGGGGGCAGCTTCTTTGACTGCTTTTTTTCCCTATGAATGGACCAGTCTTAGTCAATTCAGTCTTCTATAACAAAGTACCATGGACTGGGTGTCTCATAAACAACATAAATTTATTTCTCACAGTTTTGGAGGCTGGGAGTCTGAGATCAGGGTGCTAGCATAGTTAGGTTATGATGAGGACCCTCTTCCAGTTGCAAACTGCCAACTTATTATTGTATCCTCACTTGATGGAAGGAGAGTTGGCTAGCTCTCTGGCTTCTTCTTATAAGGGCACTAATTCCATTCATGAGTACTCCACTATGCATGACATAATTACTTCCCAAAGTCCCCACCTCCAAATACCATCACATTGGAATTAGGATTTCAATATATGAATTGGGGGGGGGGCACAAACATTCAGCCCATTGCAGGGTCATTAATTTCTTGTTTCTTTGCATATCTTACAATTTTTTGTTGAAAATTGCACAATTTACAAAATTTAACATGGTATCTCTGGAAATCAGATTCTCTTCCCTCATGATTTGTTGCTGTTGTTGTTTATGTAGTAATTTTATTAAATTAATCCTGAAATACTTGTATTCTTTGTTGTGTCAGGACATTTGCATTCTCAGTTGTGCTTAGTATGGCAGTTAGCCAAAAATTAAACAGAGGTTTTCTTGTCTTGAACCAATAAATCTCCCAGCCTTTGCCCAGGGGCTCTATGTGTGTATTAGGACACAACTTCAACACTCAGCTAAGCAGCTCATAACTTTCCTTAGCCTTCTTCTTCCTACTTGCTTAGCACATCAAGGTTAACCAGAGTTGAGCACTGAGGGCCTTCTCAGGACTTCCCTGGGCATGCACAACGCCTAAGCATGCATGCAGACTTCCAGAAATATGCCAGAGCTTTCCCAAGCCCACTATGGACATTTCATTCCCTAGCTTTTCCTTTTAAGCTTTCTGATCAACCAATTGATCGCCTCAACTGTTACCAACTGCCTCAGGCTGACCTGATGTTCAACCATTGTCACTGTTTTCAACAAATGGCACCAGGGAAAAGGCTGTTCACACTGGGCCAGCAAAGACAGCCTTATTTGTGAGTGGGATGGTTCAGTGACTCACAAGTTAGGTCCCATAATGACCGTTCTCTGGGACAGAGCTTTGAAGAAGCTCCAACTCTGTTCTGCCCCATCGGGATACTGGCTGCCAGGATATTGGCTATCACTGTGCCTGCAAGCTGGTGGTTTTCAAGGCTTGCATGGAGCTGGGGGAAGGAGGATGGAAATAGGGGAATTTAAAACACCACGAAGCCCCAAGGGAAATTAAAACATATGTCCATGCAAAAACTTGTACACAGATGTTTATAGCAGCATCATTCACAATAGCCAAAAGGTAGAAACCACCCAAATGCCCATAAAATGATGAGTGGATCAACAAAAAGTGGTATATCCATGGAATATTATTTGGCCATGAAAAATGAAATACTAACACATGTTACAATATGGATAAACCTTGAAGATATTATGCTAAGTGAAAGAAATCAGTCATAAAAGGCCTCATATTTATTACTCCATTCATATGAAATGTCTAGAACAGGGAAATCCGTAGATACAGAAAGTAGATTACTAGTTGCTTAGGATTGGGATAGGGGAATTGGAACAATAGGGAGATGACAGCTAAAAGTTACTAGGTTTCTTTTTTGGGGGTGATAAAAATTCTAAAATTGACTATGATGATGGTTGCACACTATCTGTGAACATACAAAATCATTGAATTAAATGTGTGAATTTTATGGTATATGAATTATATCTCAATGAAGCTATTCTTTAAAATACTACAAAGCTTGCCCAGCTGGCATGGCTCAGTGGTTGAGCACTGCCCTATGATCCAGGAGATCGAGTTTCAATTCCCAGTCAGGGCACATGTATGGGTTGTGGGCTTGATCCCCGGTAGGGGATCGACAAAGCTTGCTGTTCTCGCTGAGATTCAGCTGTCTTTCTTTTTTAAAAAGTATGTTTTTATTAATTTCAGAGGAAGGGAGAGGGAGCAATTGGAACATCAATGATGAGAGTCATTGATCAGCTGACTCCTGCAGGCCCCCTACTGGGGATCGAGCCCGAAACCTGGGCAGAGGTGCCCTGACCAGGAATTGAACCATGACCTCCTGGTTCATAGGTTGTTGCTCAACTACTGAGCCAAACTGGCTGGGCTCAACTCTCTTTCTTAAATGCTCACAGGATTGCTGGCAACCTTTGGCTAATTACCAGCATTCTAAAAAAATGTTTATTCTGACCATTTTGCTGGTTCTCTTGTTGCTTTTAAGGAGAAGAGAGTTTTTTTGAAGCTCTTGCTCCACAATTTTCACTGACATTCTCTACTTTGACATTAGGTACCGCATCCTGTTCCTATCACCCTGGGACTAAACACAACATTCTGTTCCACTAACTAATGATGCTGGGTTCCCCTCCTCCTCTCCTCGGTACTCTTCTGGACACAGTATTCTACTGTCCCCAATATTCTGTCCTGTCTTCTTGATGCATTTTTCTCGTTTCCCTCGGTACCTTCCACCCTAACACTCCAGCTGAGGAGGGGACAGCAGTGGGGGACGAGGGGAGTCACTGAGAAAACTTTCCACCATTCGCCCTCCTCGGCCCTCACTTCCCGGTGCTCTCCCCGCGCCCCACCTCAGGTGTCCTACGTGAAAGCCATTGACATTTGGATGGCGGTGTGCCTGCTCTTCGTGTTCTCCGCCCTGCTCGAGTATGCCGCCGTCAACTTTGTGTCTCGGCAGCACAAAGAGCTGCTCCGATTCAGGAGGAAGCGAAGACACCACAAGGTAGGCCTTTGCGTCGCTGCCTGAGGAGGGACAGCTGGTGGCATGTGCAACAGCTCCAGGCAGCCTAGTCTTGTGATACTTGTTTCACTGGACCATCCTTCTCAGTGGATAAGGCAGGAATGAAATCGGAATTAAGGTCACAGAAGTCCTAGCTTCCTCTCCCATAAATAACCCCCTGATTGGGTCTATAGGCAATCACTCCTTCAACCGTGATAACACTACAGACATTATCAGGTTGCCCCCAAAGACAGAACTGATGGAGCAAATGCTGATGGGGCGAAGATAATGACTAGCTGAAAACCCAAAGCATGGCAGGCTGAGAGGTGCTTCCTGGTGTTTTCTGCAAAGCTTCACTATTTCAGTGGGCTGGGTTCCACCACAAAAGGTGAGATCTTAAATAAAACATCCATATCCCAGGCCTTTGCTTCCTCCCTCCAAGAAAGGGGCATCGAGCAAGATCCTCTGGAGTGGATTCTCTCACTGAGGGATTGCATAAGGGAGTATTTGGCAGGCCATCTCTGAAAAGTCACGAAACTCTGTCAAGTCGGAGGTCGTGTTCCAACCAGAACATGCCACCGGGGAGTGTGCAGCCTGTGGGAGCAAACTGGCTCCACACCCTGGCCCGTAACTACTTTCCCAGGAGAATTTTCCTCCTGGGGATCAGAGACCCTACTCTTCTCTCCAGCCTCATCTTCACATCACCTTCCCTGTGCTCTCTGGACACCGACCACACTAGCCTTTCGCCTAGTTCCTCAAATATACACACAGGGCTTTAGGTATCGTGTTCTCTCCTCCTGGATTGCTCCTCCAGTGCAATCTTCTTGGTCCTAACCCACACATTTTCCAGTTCTCAGCTGAGGCATCTTCCCTGGTACCTCAGTCAAAGTTTATGTCCTGTACTGAGGTTCTTCTACAGGACTACTGGGTATGGCCGTGCAGGTTGTACCTCACAAGGTCCCCTAGCCAGAGAGGCATCCTTCTCTAAGTCACGCCCTGGCATGGACTATGTCGGCCAGAGGAAAGGATTCCAGTTCATATGCCCAAGAGTGTCATGCCTTTTTCAAATTTGCACAAAGATGCTGTGTGTGCTAGCCAAGGCCATGTTCTCATTAAACCTGGTTTCTTTCCTTCTGAACATTTGTCTTGATTTATAATTGTACATTTAATGACGTGATTGTTTAATGCTCACCTCTTCCACTGAATTATAAGCTCCATAAGGACAGCGGTCATGTCTACTCCTGTTCAGTGGTACATTCCTGGTGCCTCACACAACGCCTGATACACAGCGAACATGTAATAGGAATGTATGGAACAAACAGGCAAAGGAACAAACTAACGAACGAACAAAGAGATGCAGTCAGAGAGCCTGCCTGGAAGTTTTCCCAGCCACACATTAGGGCAACCAAGAACCATGCACTGTCGCCTGCCAGGCCACACCACACACTTGCTACACACCAGGGCCCTAAAGCATTAGATTGACCTATTTAAAATAGCTGAAAACTCAGCTACACCAAAGGACTGAGGGCTATGATGAAGGACTCTCTGCCTCTTTAGCTCTCTTTGGTACGGGACTCCAAGCTAGCCTCTTTCTAGGCCCAGATTTCCCCTCTGTAAGGTGGACTGAAACAGGCATAAGGGGAGGCTGTGGTGAGGGCCAAATCAGATGCCCCGATGGTGAGTGGAGAGAACTAGCTCCATGCTTGCGGTTCTCAGAGTGTGAGATCCTGGCCAGGCTCCTCAACTCCCACCATCCTCATTGGTTAGGCAGAAAGCATCTGCTTGAATTTCCTGGCCAGCCTCATAGAGGATTAGGAAACCTCTGTGACCTTGACCATATCCCCCACCCCATCCCCAAGCAGCGCCAGACGCAGCCGGACATTGTTTCCTGCCACCTGCTGGGTAGAATAGGAATAGCGAGCCTTTGTTCTGTCTTGTCTAGAGAATTTCCCTTCTGGCTACTGGGTGAAATTGATAGTCATCTAACCAGATTACTCCAGTCCACACACCTCCACCCCTTCCACTCCCATGTTTAGCAGATGAGACAGAGTAATTCACCCAAAAAATATGTATTAAGTTAATCTGGTGGTTCCCCCTACATAACCAGAGCCCAGTGGAAACCTTTTCAAACACCCGGGGCCTATGGCAAGGGCAGATTCATAATGACAAGCAACAGAGCGGACCCAGCTCCCCACTCTAGTCACCGGGTCCAGCTCCTCCCCTTGGCCCTGGCACACACCCTCCACTGTTGCTACAGTCATAGACGAACATTTATTGAGCGCCTGTTTGCCGGCCACCATCACAATCCTCTCCTCCCCACTTCTGCAGTGAGCATGTTGGCCCAGATTCATTCATTTGCCAAAGATTTCTCTTTTTTTATTGAATTTGTTGGGATGATATTGGTTAATAAAATTATATAGGTTTCAGATATCCAATTCTATAATACATCATCTGTATATTGTACTGTGTGTTCACCACCCCAAGTCCAGTCTCCTTCCGTCACCATTTATCCCCTTATACTCTCTTCTACCTCCTAACAAAGATTTCTTGAGCATTTATTTTATGTCCCAAACCCTTCTGGCACTGGTGGGTAGGATTACAAGCCATTTATTTTTTTAAAAAGGCTAAGTAAGACTAATGAAGATATACAAGTAAACACTTACTTATTCAACAAAAATTGACTAAGTTTTGAGCTTATGTCCAGGAATTATGTTCATATGTTCCCTCTCCCGCCATATGCTTTGCACACCTGCCACTTGCGTTGAACTTTCTCTATTGCCCCTGTGCACCCCCGCCTCCCTGCCTTATGCTCACTACCAACCTGCCTGCTGCCCTGTCCTTCTCACCTCTCCCTTCCTGAGCTAAGTGACCTTGCCCTGTTCAGACGTTCATTCAGTGCTGAGGGGTCAGTGATGTGGTAGACTTCACCTCTGCGTTCATGGAGCTTACAGTCCAATAATGAGAGAGGCAGACGTTAATCAAGGAGTACAATGTGGTAAGAGCTTTAAAGGTTGGGGGGTGCAGGGACCTTATAGAGCGCATGCAGGGACACCTAGCCTATCTCTGGGCTCAGGGAAGGCTTCTGAGTAAGAACTAGTTCAGTGAAAGAGGAGTTGGAAGGAGGGCTGGAGGTAGGAGTGTGCTCCATGCAGAGAGGACAACTTGAACAGGGGCCCGGAGTTAAAGCGAGGGAGTGGGGTGCTTTTGACCACATGGAAATGTTTCGGGGTGACTGGAGCACCAGATGCCAGAGAGACAATGGCACAGATGAGACTGGAGAGGCAGGCAGGGTCCTACCTCAAAGCTCACATGGAAAGAGCACATCCAGGCGTGATGAGAGCAGACACAGGGCGTCCATGATTCTGAAGAGGGCAAGATCACCAGAAGCTCAGGGAGGGAGAGATGAGGACAGGGCAGCAGGCAGGCTGGCAGTGAGTGTAAGGCAGGGAGGTGGGGTCACAGGGATGATTCAGAAAGTGCAACAGGACTGGCAGGTGTATAAAGCACATGGTGGGGAGAGAGAAAAGCCTGCGCAGGTAAGTCGGAGCCAAGTAATGAAGGGAGGGCCTTGAATGATAGCCCGATAGAAGCTCAGAGGCATGTCTGAGGTCACAACCTCCAGAGATATGGGAACCTGGAGGCAGGAAGAAGCTGTGGCTTCCCTGGCTTGAGGCGAGGCCCACAGCCCTTGCTCCCTCTGAATCATTCACCCCTACCCCCACCCTCACACAAGAAGACATTAACTGTGGCGGGGGTGGGGAGGAGGTCAAGGAGGCAACAGAAGCAAAGCAGGGGATCTCTCCAAATTGTCTCCTGTATTTCCAATAAAGCAGCACCCAGAGTGTGTGCTCATCTCTGATCTCTGATGGTTAGAGATGAGCCTTTGAGGTAGTGACTCTGACCCCACTTGCAGGTAAAAATGCAATAAAATAAACCCTGAAATTCACAGAAGGATGTGACTTGCCTAAGGTCCTACAGCCAGGAGGTAACAGAGCCGCCACTGGAACACATGTCTCGAGACTTCTATCCCCTGGTTTGCATCTGTTTCCGCAGGCCAGCGGCGCCCCTCTATAAGGCATAACTCCCCAGCCAGCCAACAAGCCTTCAGGAGCCTGGAAGGTGCAGGGAGGCAGGGAGGACCAGCCGGGCCTGGCCTGGCCCCCAGGGGAGTGCCTTGCAGGGAGGGTGCCCAGCCCCTGTCTTATTTTAAGTAGAGCCCCATGTTGAATCTGTTCCAGGAGGATGAGGCTGGAGAGGGCCGCTTCAACTTCTCTGCCTACGGGATGGGCCCGGCCTGCCTCCAGGCCAAGGATGGCATCTCGGTCAAGGGCGCCAACAACAATAACACCACCAACCCGGCCCCGGCGCCCTCTAAGTCCCCGGAGGAGATGCGAAAACTCTTCATCCAGAGGGCCAAGAAGATCGACAAAGTATCCCGCATCGGCTTCCCCATGGCCTTCCTCATCTTCAACATGTTCTACTGGATCATCTACAAGATCGTCCGCAGGGAGGACGTCCACAACCAGTGACCAGTGACGG